AAACAGGAGTTGCTCCTAGCGGATGAGCCAGAGGCAGGAGTGGGATTCAAAAAACCCAGCAACTGGTTCACTGCCCAGTTGCTGGGTGGGCGTGGCCATGCTGGGCGTGGCCTAGCGGAACTTGCAGGAGGACCATTTTTCGCCTTCCCCAGAGTCCGGAGGCTTCCCTCGGGCCTCCGGGAGGGTGAAAGCGGCCTTCCCTGGGCTCTGGAAGCCAGAAACAGTCCTGTGTTGACTCAAAAATATTTCTCTTGTCTTTTGGAGTTGTCAGCAGAAAGGGAGTGGAGGGAATAATGCATACTTTAGATAATTGCAAGGCAGCCGAAGCTTCTGGCGGGCAAGATTATTACCAGAGAGCAACTTCCCTTTTTAAACAGTGTTCCCAGCTGTAGCTAATGAAGGGAATCAGGGCCCTTTCCTCCCCCGTAGGCCATGCAACCCACGCTGCTCCCTTCTCCGTTCCTCCCTGCGTCCGTAGGATGAAGATGGGGTGGGCCTGGGTCTTCTTCTGAATTCCCTCTCCCTTGCTCTACCTCTCCCCTGCTCTGCCCAGCTGGACTTTGCCCTCCCCCAGTTTCCTCCACAGCCAACAAAGCCCCACTCCCACTCCCTGTCAGCTGCTCGGCCTCCCCCTCCGAATCAGATTCCAACAAGGGCATGACAGCTATCAAGCCATGCAGAGGCATTCAGCAGCAAAAACCAGTCAAGCAAACACTTTAAGTCTGTCCAGGGATTGTTTTGAATCAAACCTTTACAAGCAATTTTAAAAACTATCCTTAAAAAAATAAAAAAATAAATCACCGTACGGAGGATAGTTATGGGTCTGATGGGACAGGCCATCGTCCTCAACTTTGGACAGTAACAGAGCCCAGAATTATGGCAGTAAGTCATGCCAGTTGTTAAGCAGGTCACCACAGGGCCACGCCCAGTTATTTTACTTTGGTAGCGCTCCTTACGCAGACACCTTGGTCACTAAGAGAATCCATTGTACCCAACGGATAGGGGGTGGTTGTTTTTTTTGCCGAAAGCCAGAAACAAACACCAGTTTTTGCTCAACAACATCACAAAAACATGGCTATGTGACTGCAAGAAGCTGTAAAAACAGCTGCAAATGTGAGTTGTGGGTTGCCAACACCCCAAATGGGGATCCTGTGACAGCTCTCAGAACATTGAAAGTGGGCTGTAAATAACTTTTGGGAGGTTGGTTGTGACTCGGAACAGTTGGTGAGCAACCTGTGGCGAGTTGAGGGCTGCCTGTGCAGCATTTGCCTTGTCTCCTTTTCGTTCCTTCTAATTAAGGGTGGAAATGGAGGCGCCGCTTATGAGATGCTCTTGGACCCGGCCCCAGTGGGGGGAGGCTGTGCCCCCTCCCCCGGTCAGCACGACTCGCCATCAGGGAGGGCGAAACCCGGCAGCTTCCCTTGCGAGAGAGTCCCGGATGGGGAGGCCTCTCCTTTGAGGGCGTAAAAGCAGGAAGTGGAACCCAGCCAGCTACACGTGTTTTGGGGGATGGAGGAGGCGCCGCTTTCCATTTGACAGAGCGAAAGTATAGCTGTGGGAACAAGAGTTGCTGGCAGGGAAGTTGAGAAGAGGAAGGGGAGAGGCGAGGCCATTCTCACCCACCCACCCACCTGACGGGCATCCTGTGCGGATGGACCACTGAGCAGAAGTCAACAATTCTCGGTACTGAAAACTTTTGAAAATAAGGAAGGTCTCCTCCTCTTCTTCCTTCTCCCTCTCCTCTTATTCTCTTTCTCCTTTTTCCTTCTCTTCTTCCTCTCCTTCTCCTTCTCTTCTTCCTTCTCCTTTTTCTCCTCCTGCTCCTCTCCTCCGCCTCTTCTTCCTTCTCCTCCTCTTCCTTCTCCTCTTCTTCCTTCTCCCTCTCCTCCTGTTCTCTTTCTCCCTTTTCCTTCTCTTCTTCCTCTCCTTCTCCTTTTTCTCCTCCTGCTCCTCTCTTCCATCTCTTCTTCCTTCTCCTCCTCTTCTTCCTCCTCTTCCTCTCCTCCTCCCCATCTTCCTTCTCTTCCTCTCCTCTTCTTCCTTCTCCTCCTCCTCTCCTTCCTTTTCCTCCTCCTGCTCCTCTCCTCCATCTCTTCTTCCTCCTCCTCCTCCTTGCTTCTTCCTTTTTTCCTTCCTCCTCCCCCTCCTCTCCCTCCCACCACAAACCGCCTGCCTGTCTTTTCAGGCCACTGCTGTGTCTCCAGACCAAAACAGGACGAGTATCCAGATTGTAAGAAGCCCCCCCACACACACACACATACACAGCCCCTCCAGATTTGGCATCGAACCTAATTCACACAACCGGGGACGAGTGACCCAACCCAACTTATTACTGAAGAACCACCCTGGAACGGCGTTGGCTAAAAACAACACAGTCCCTTCCGACAGGCTAAAAAGTCTGCCTGGTAGGCAGGGACGGAAACAATGCTGCAGTCATTGAGTTAATTCAGGATTTCCGGCTTTGTTCCTTCCCTCCCTTCAACAAATAGGCACCGACTAAGGGCTGCAGCCTGCACGTTTCTTTATTTCGCTCGTTGCAAGAAGTATCTGTTTTATGGTTGTTCTCTACTGAAGATCATCTGTTCCGTGGTTTGGTCCCCGCGCCCCAACAGGAGCCCCTCGTCCTGGGCTGGACTAGAGGACCTTCAAGGCCCCATTCCAGCTCATTCATTCCATTCTGTTTCTTAGCAGCGGAGGGGCTGTTCCTCTCCCCATCACCACCCATGGATGCCAGGAGGGGGCGGCTGGAAAAAAGGCACCTGGGGCCAGGACACCTCCAAGGTAGAATTGCCTGGCCAAGGAGGCTCGCCCAGATTTTAATTAGGCCCCAGGAATGTCTTATTCTTGGCCTCATCTTCTGGGTCTGCCTACCCAGCTGTAAATCCATTTTTAATTGGTGTTGAGTGTTTGTTTTGTTGTCCACCGCCCTGAAATTTGCAATATATAAATTGGTAGCTTGAAAATGCTGAACTGTGCTGAGAACGTGGCTTAACCCCTTGTTTTCTCTTCTCTTGTCTTGTCTTCTCCTCTCTCTCTCCCGCATCAGTCCTTTTGCTTAGAACAATGAGGACTAGAATCCTTCCATTCTCTCATTCACCCTTCTCCCTCCCTCCCTCCTCCTCCCTCCCTCCCTTCCCTCCCTTCTTTCCTTCCTTCCTCTTCCTTCCTTCTTCCCTTCCTTCCTTCCCTCCCTCCTTCCATCCCTCCATCCTTCCTTCCCTCCCTCCTTCTTTCTTTCCTTCCTTCCCTCCCTTTCTTCCCTCCCTCTTTCCTTCCTTCCCTCCTTCCTTCCCTCCCTCATTCCTTCTTTCCTTCCCTCCCTCCTTCCTTCCTTCTCTCCCTCCTTCCCTTCCTCCCTCTTTCCTTCCTTCCTTCCTTCCTTCCTTCCCCCCCTCCTTCCTTCCCTCCCTCCCCCTTCCTTCCTTCCTTCCTTCCTTCCTTCCTTCCTTCCTTCCTTCCTCCCACTGAATATCCCAACCAACCAAGGCAGCTGAAGAAAAGCGTGGAAATTCGCACACAGAACTTTCTAAATTCTCCCTTGACTAACCAGTGGGGCGGCCCCTGTATCGATTCGGGTCGATTCCTTACACAACCCACAGAATACTGCGGACAGCCTTGTGCCTCCAACCTCTGCCCCAACCGGGTCCTTCCACAAACCACGTTCTCCGGGGGAGCCACCGCAACGGTTGTTCCGTCCACCTGCCCAACCCACTCCGAAGTCCAGAAGCCATCCTCCCCCCCCCCCCCGCTAATGAACTGAAGGTAGGGGAGGCTGCTAATTCAGAGCAGAGCAGCCGAGACGGGAGGAGATTTTCCAAAATTCTCGCCGGGGACCCCAAAGGGCCTAGGAACCCCCTTGTCTCCCTCTCTCTGGGGCTGGGGGAGAGAAGAACGATGGGAAGCTTTCCGCTTGAGAAATCCAAGTCGATCGAAAAGGGGCTCAAACCCCCCCCCCCAGCTGGCTGGCTCTTTTTCCTGCAGCTGCAGCTCATTAAGGAAAAAATTGTCATGAGATCAAATCACAGTTTGTGTTGTTTTGGTCTTCGGGAGGCTGGATAGAGAACCGGCCTTAGGAAACCCACCGGGGCCTCCTCCTTCAAACCTGGTTTCTCAGGCCAGGGAAGGTAACACCGGCTCTGGCTTCCCCCGCGGTCTTTCATCATCATCATCATCATCATCGGAGTGTTTGATTTACGGAATAAGGATGTGCAGGACTGCCAGTGTGCATGTGCGTGCGCGCATACACACACACACACACAGACACACGAAAGACTCTGACAGGCAGCACCTTCTCTGCTTCCATTTCATGAAGTGCCAGGTAATTGGAGCAGATCAAGGGGAGGGAATTGATGGAAGCATCTGGACTCATTTGAAACATTTTCTATTTCCCCCCCCCACCCCTCTTTCAACGTGAAAGCTCTCAGGACTGATTCTTTCCAGGTTCGGTTGCTTTCGGTCGTGGGAAATGGGCGACTGGAGCTTTGGAGCCTGAAGGGAAGGTGAGGTCCAACATTCACTGTGTGTGAGGTCAGCCAGGGAAAGAGAGAGAGAGAGAGAGAGAAAGAAAGAAGAAAGAAGAAAGAAAGAAAGAAAGAAAGAAAGAAAGAAAGAAAGAAAGAAAG